GTAACTCGTAGATCAGCTGAAGCATCGAGAAACACAGTATTGAAGTTGTTTGAGAAGTTAACGGCGCATAAATATTCGTTATATTAATATAATGTTTTTTTTTTGATTTTGCATTTAATTGTAACACCTCTGGAGTGCTTACAATATATATTAATATAATCTAGGAAAAAAAGAATAAATAGCATAGTGAGAAAAGGCGAAAAACTGAAATAAGTAAAATATTTTTATTTATATTGAAAAAATTGCGTCACTTTCGAAAAGTAAGTTAACAAAACAGGAAAAGACAAATACTTACAGTTTTCACAACTTACTAAATTACTTAAAATAATTTCCTTAAATACTTTAAGTTTTAATTATATCATTAACTCATCAATCATTAAATGTTGACCGAATGGATTGTGCGGAATAATAAGAATGGATTTTGAAAAATAAAACACTAATATTCAAAATACGCTATCATCGTCAACATAGCATTAAATTCTGATTGACATCAGATCGATCTCACCTAAAATAGAAAAATACAACAGTGAATCAACAATAAAAACAATCAATGTCGTAAAAATCGTCGATTAATCGCCAAAATTGGGGATTTTCGCTGACTTTTATTTAGTTGGATCTAGTAAAAGAAAAAAATAATAATTAATTTAAGTAAATACTTACTTTTATTTTACTTTTTGGTTAAAATTAAAAATACTAAATAAATACGTTATATAAACACTTATTTCATTTTTTAGTTGCACGTAAATAAAAGAAAAAAATAATAAATTAATTTGAATAAATACTTTCGTTTTTATTGTTTAGTTGGACCTAATAAAAGAAAAATAATTAATTTAAATACTTGATTTTATATTATTTTTCATTTGGTTCTAAAAATAGAAAAATAAACCAATTTAAATAAATACTTATTTTCATTTTGTTGTTTAGTTGGGCCTAATAAAAGAAAAAAAATTAATTAATTTAAATAAATACTTTATTTTGTTTTTCGGTTGGTTCTAACCATAGAAAAATAAACAAGTATTTTATGTAAATATAGTCAGCTGGGGTAATTCGATTCACTTGACTAAAAAAATGAGGGTATTTTGGTTATTTCTCAGCCATTTTACATCAGAAAAAAAGATTTTTTTTGTCGACAGATAGCCCAAAGTGTTCTCTATCTAGTCATGCAAAAATCTTTCAAAAAAAATAATATTTTGGATGAGATTTTACGAAAAAATGCTAAAAGCCCTAAAAACGTGATCCGAATTACCGCAGTCGGGGTAATTCGGATCAGTAAGCTATTGTACCTGGGGTAATTCGGATCACTCCAGCAAAAATAGCTAGAATAACTAGAATCTCACTTTTCCAACCTCTTACTCATTATCAGTAACTTGTAATTAAATAAAAAATATACCATTCGATAGCCCAAAGTCTCTTCTGTGGGACCTGAAAAGTACTCGTCAATCGGTCGAACTACTGAAATATAGTGTTTAAGATAGTAAACACTACTCAGTCTTTTTTTTTTTCTTTTAAAAATTGATCTGGGGTAATTCGGATCGATCCATCAAATTTTGCTGCAACATCTTTTTTTCGTTGTATTTTATATTCTCAGGTATTTGTCAAGTGACTTTAGTTCAAAGAGAAAGCAAAAACAACTAACATTATAAAAGGACGTGCTTGTATCTTTGTTTCAATTATCTCTTAAAACTTTCATCAAATTCTTTCAGTAAGTTTTTTTGTTATAAGATATAAGACATTTATTCGATATCTTTTCAAATATTTGACTTTTTTTCAACCCAATAGGAAAAACACATTTAAGATTTAAATATGATTTTTCTTTAAGATTAGATTATGGAAGGAAGTTTTCATTTCGATTAAAATCTTTGATCTGTAAAGAAAAAAAGAATTTTTATTCGAACTTGTCTTTATCTAAACAATCAATAATGAAAGAAACTCTATTTGTTATTAAGATAAATTTATTCTTTTCTAAATATTTGTTGTTTTTTCAGTAGATGAAATTGATATTTCAATAAATAAAAAACTTCATTTATCGAATCAAAATGAAGATTGAGAAAATCTTTTTGTTTATTTATCTAATTTATCAAATAAAATCAAATCTCAAAACATAGAAATTTGATAATTTTTCTATGAAAAATCTGTTTTTGTTTTTATCTTCTATTGAATTTATTTTTGCAATTTTTGTTCCCTAGACTGAAAGGCTAGGGTCTAGAAACCGAAATTCACATGTGTCTGTCTGTCCGTCTGTCTGTCGGTAACGCGGTCAAAATGTCCATAGTAACTATGGTACAAATGACCAAATGGTTAAAATACCCACAGCAACTGTGGTATAAATGCCCATAGTAACAATGGTACAGATGACCAAATAATAAGTATTGTCAAAATGTCCATGGTAACTATGGCACAAATGACCATATGGTTAAAATAGCCACAGTAACTGTGGTACAAATGCCCATAGTAACAATGGTACAAACGACCAAATAACAACTGCCATCCATGCTCATAGCAATTGTGGTACAAATGACCATAGTAACTACGGTACATATGACCATGTGGCACAAATTACCATACGGTACAAATGACCATGATAACTGTGGCACAAATAGCCATTAGCTAACCGTAGTTCAAATGAGCATATAATCGTATGGTACAACCGACATTTATGGTGCAAAGAGCTATATAGAAATCTAATCGAAACGACCATCTGATAACTATAGCTCAAATAAACATGAAGAAGACTATTAGGATTGTTTAATCATCATGATTTTAATTAATTAATCGAGGAATATTGGTCGAAAAAGACGATCATTGTTTAATTATTTATTGTGATTAGATTATTGTTCAATGCTGTATCGAAAAGCAGATGAGTGTTTTATCCGTAAATTAGAGTCTTAGAAGTGAGTGTGAAGCACAAAATTATGATGAACAAAAATTATTTTGTTTAAATAATGCGATAGAATATTTTTCGAGTAAAAATAGCGCTTAAATAAAATAATTATCAAAATTCGTATTGTTGTGTACGATATCATTGTAATTCATGATACAATATAAAAACGATCTGTTTTGAAAGAGAAATAGCAGAACGATCATGTACTGAATAGTCCACGATATCTAATGCAAATAGTTTTTATATTTGCATAGCATGTTTTTCATAGTTGAGTACCGATATTAATATCTATACCAAAAAATACTTATAATGATACCGTTTCAGGTCAGGCAAAGAGTTATATCAAACTATTTAAAGAATATGTTTTTTGTTTATCACAGTTTTATGGTGACACTCACTTAAAAGATTCTAATTTATTGATAAAACACCTACCTGCTGACACAGCATTGAACAATAATCTAATCACAATAAATAATTAAACAATGATCGCCATTTTCAACCAATACTGGTCGATTAATTTAAATCATAGTGACTACATAATCTTTACAACTTCCGTCACGATTAGTTGAATCATAATTATCAAATAGCCACTATAACCATGTTCTGTTACACACAGTCAAGCATAGTGGATCCCCGTTTACATCTATAAACAAGTATATCAGCATCGCTACCCCGTCAGTCTAGGGCTAAGTGAATCGACTATCGATGAACGTTACTTGTTTTTATCTTCTATTGAATTTATTTTTGCAATATGAAAATGAACAATAGATGTTTAACTTGGAAATATTTATTTGTTCAACATGTTTTATATCGTAAAATGTTAAGAAAGATATATTTTTAAAAAGAAGATTTTATCTTGATATCAGATTTAACAAAATTGAGAATTTTGTCAAAATTTATTTATCATTTTACTTGAAAACTTTAAAGAATTGATACTTTTCAATTTTTAAAGTTTAATTTTGATGAAAAATATTTTCTTTTCACAAAATTAAAACGAAAACTTCTCTTAAAATTCTTTTGTTAAATTGTAAATTATTCCAATATTTTAAAATTTTCGACTATCGAACAAATTTGCCGATTATATCAAAATTTGAAATGTTCAATCACAATTTTGAAAATCTTCTTCGATTCATAGAACAATCTTATAAAACATTAGAAAATCTTAATCCTATTTAATTATAATAAGATCGAGATTCAAATTTAAATGAAAACTCCATTTCAATTTGATTAATTCGATAAGAATTTTCTTTTTCTTTAAATATAAAATCAAACGAATATTTAATTTATTCAAAAATCAATCAGAAATTTATTTACATTTAATCAATTTTCTATTAATGAAACATTTCAGTTACATCCAACACAAAAAAAAACCAACAAAATTCTTTGAATCAATTAAAATCCTTCATATATGAATTATTTTGTCATTTGATTCTTCGAAAAAAAGATTCCTTATGATCATATTAAATTAAATCTTCATTTGTTTTCTCTTCGAAAAAATCAAGTCTTCTCAAACATTCAACAAAACGAATTGAAAAGAAATGTCTATTAAATAATTTCGAGAAAAAAATCAATTTGAAAATAGTTATGTAATTTTCATCTTTATATAAATGTGTGATTACTTTATTGAGAATAATAAAATATTATTTCAACAAACTTTATTTTTTAAGTTTTCGAAAACAATTCAAATAGTTTTTTATGAGTATTTAACAAAGATTTTATTTTTATTTTAGAAATTCATTAAGCAAAATAATTTTATTTTATCAAATTATTATTAACAAATCTCTTTGTTTTTCATTCAAACTACAAATATTATTTAATAAATTATTTTCTGTTCCTCGACATTCAGTTAAAATATTAAATGAAATAAAAATTTTTTTCATTTAATATAGAGAAAATTAGAAATACATTGGACATTTATACATATATGAAAAAAAAAGACGCTTTTTCATCGATGTTTAACTATTCAAAACAATAAAAAAGTTCTTTTCATATATTTTATATTAAATCAAATTTATTTCTTTACTTTTTCTTTGTCTTAACAAAAATCTTTTCTTTTATCTAAGATCATTTTCTCAACATGGCAGAAAAATCGATCGATGAACCAAAAGTAATGCATTGAATGTATGATTTATTATCGGAACCAAAACAAATGGTTCCACTTATCAAAGGTTATGAACAACAACCACTTGTTACACTTGAACAATCTGTCAAACCTCTTCTTTCATTTGTTCCAGAGATCGAACAAATGGTTTGGACAATCAAACAAACTTGTCAATATCCAGATGATCATCTTTCATCGGATGAATTAGGATCGATTATGTTATATACGCTAGAATGGATGCCTCTAGAATCTTCTTTTTACTATATTCTTAATAAAACTCTTCAATCACAAAATCGAAGAGAATTATTATCTTGGTTCTTATATCTTCTTCGAAACTTCCATCAACTACACATCGAATTATTTATCGAGGAATTCAAATGGATGTAAGTGATGAATTTTCAAAAGGAAGAACATTTATATGAGGAACATTTTCATCTTGTACATCTTCAATTGGAGTTTTAGAAGAATTTCTTAGTCAAAATGGACATAGAACCATATTTAACATTGTATGTGGTTCAGCTAAAGATATAACTAAATATTGATTTTATCAAAATGAAAATGAAATCTTAATGTATCCAGCAAGATAATTTCAAGTTATTTCTTCATTTAATTCAGAAAATCAACTGAAAAATCATTCATTTGAAAGAAATTCACGTCGAAAAAGTTAGTACCATATTCGTCTTTATCTATCCGGATTCGCTATTTTACTTGGGTTATTTCTAAAACAACTTGGGTTAGATGCAAAATTTAATTCTGCGTCGAATGGTAGCAGTTTTGAGGAGGGTTATCGAGCAAAAATACCCTACTTCCCTCAAAATACTGGTTTTTCCACGTAGTTCCCAAGGTATTCCCTGTCCGGATTCGCTATTTTACTTGGGTTATTTCTAAAACAACTTGAGTTAGATGCAGAATTTAATTCTGCGTCGAATGGTACTATTTCCGAGGGCAGTTGTCTACTAAAAATAGCCCCTTTCGGTCAAATACTGTTTTTTTAAGGTAGATTTCGGGATATTTTCTGTTCGAATTTGCTAGAGAGCGACGGAAACGAAAGGAAAATACCGTGAAAGTCGAATAGTTAAAAAATCGAATATTTGAATTAAACTTTTAACAATTGAAAAGAAGAAGAAAAGCTAAAAACTCTTACCAAATTAATGATTTCTACACTACTGAACAAATATTAATGCAAATAATGCAGCAGAACAGAGGAAAATGATATGTTTTGGCACTGAAACCGTATGAATGTGGCATTACTCACTCTCTTAGCCACTCAGCTTCTTCTTTTCTCTCGCGCACAATGTCCTTGTTTTTAATTGAACTTCACTTTCATTCTATGTGTCATGTGCACGTGCCAGAGCAGGATAAATGAAAAGAGAGAAAAAAAGAATCTCTAACGTTCGTTGAACGATGAGATATTTCTTGTCGCTATCACTGAAAAATATATTTAATTTTTCATGAAAAAATTTTGTTTTTCATACGGGTTAGATCATGTTTTTGCTGAAGATTTGGTATATGAGATTTACCGTTTTCATAATATGTTTTTATTTCTAGATGATTTCTTATCGACTAATTATGGTTTTAATATTTCTGAATAAACGATATGTTTTCTTACGAAATTATATTCCAAACCCGAGAAGTCATCTGAATTTTCCTAAATATAAAATACATTGATGGATTTAAGTTTTTCAATTTAATATCAATTTAAACAGAATAACATCATTCATGGCAGTAAACAAAATGGAATACTCGGTTAAATTTCGAAAAGTGTACAAGTTTTAGAAAACCGACTTCTCAATAAAAATAATAAGAATCTTTCGTTCATTTTTTTTGTCGTTTTCATACCTTGGATCTTGTTGTCTTCGTACATAAACAGTTCTTTGATGCAATATCTTTTTTTTCTGTCTATAGCATATTATGGCACATGTTCATGTGAAGATAAGGCTAATCAAATCTAACAGTGTAATAGTTCTGGTTCTCGTTTATACAGACTAAATCGACATACAAATTTTGAAACTAGTCTTCTTAGCTGAGCGAAGAAACTCAAAAAGAGCAATTATATATTCTTAAAAAGAAAATAAAACATCATTCATAGATGTATTTGAAGACATCTATACTACTTCAAGACATGTGTCAAAGCTATGGCAACGTTAATTTGATTTATTTTTTGAAAGATAAAATTATATTTTTGTTTCTTATATTATAAAAATAAATTAATAAATTAAGATAAATTAATAAGATTTTGTTTGACCTATTTAATAGACAGTATTTCTTTTTTTTTCTAGTAGTCAACAGTCATGTTGATAGATGATTGAAAACAGAAGAGAGAATACCATCATGTGCATCATCAAACAAACGGTTGTTCATGCACAAGACAGCCTGAAAATCTTTTCTCAAATACAACAGAACGTTGTAACATTTTTTTTCTAAATCAAATAAATAATTTTCCATTTGAAATCAAATTGTTTATCAAACAATATTTGGTTTTATTGTGAAAATAGATTTTTTGTTTTACAGAAACGATTAGTGCACTTTATTAGAATGATGTTATCTTCCATATACACGTACAATAATTAGCTCAAACGAAGAAAATTCATTAAAAAACTTTTTCTAAACGAAAAATAACATTTAGCGTTTGAAGAACAAGAGAGAAACTGAACGAAAGCTTCTTGCTATCTTTGATGATAAATTATCTTTTTAAAAATTTTTTCTCTTGAAGAGTTAAAAAAAAACAACTTTCAAAATTTGACCACCTGTTCAATCTTATTAGCTGTTTCCAACGATGCCATTTTTATCGATCTAACATAAAGCTGAACATCTTCAAAGAATTTATGCTCTTACTTAATTTGTGTTCGTGTTTTAAAAAGGAATAAGAATAAATTTAAAGAAATATTTCTCTAAAAAGAAGATGAAAGAGAGAAGAACAGAAAAAAATAAAGAAAAACAAAAAGAAAACATTCATGGATGATAATATGCACTATTGGTACCAGTTGGAGTTGCAGAAAAAACAGTTTTTATGATAATTTTATTATTATGATATCGATTGAATAGTGATCAAATAGGATAGAAAGATACACAGGTGGCCAAAAGTATGTCCCCCCTTGGATCTTAGCTTC